ACTCAGGGTTTTAAAAGGGTCAGGACCCTAGAGCCACATGTCTTGCTCACCTAGCCTAGGTTCTGATCCATTGCTGGTTCTGCCCTGTACCTTGCCCTTTGCCCTCTACCTTCTCTATCCTACAATCCCCAGCTCACTACTGATGGCAGAGACACAAAAGATGACTGAGACATTCTTTACCTCTGGATGAAAAAACACCCAGCTAAATTGCAGACCTTTGGGCTACTGACTTCTGCTGGCCTCTAGGCTCTCGCTGCCTGGGACAGACTTTGCTAATGAATTGTAGCATTCTTCCTGTTTGGACCCCAGACTCCTAGTCCTTTTAGATTTAGATAACATTTGACTGGAATTTCCCATCTTACATCTTGTGGAAATACCATGATGTCCCCAACAGCTCGTCAGACTCCAGTGTCTTACAAAGTCCTGGACACTTTTAACTCCAACTTTCTGCTCCCAGGGCACCTGAACTCTCCCTTGCCTTTATTCTCTGCTCAGTGCCAATCTGGTGCCATCCTGCCATGCAGTGAGTGTGCAGTTCATTTTGCTAAAGATTTGAGGAGTCAGGGCCCGGGTCATATCACAGCAAAGTGAAGGGCAGAAAGTGGAGATGCTCGGTTCTTCCAAGTCCCTCAGCTGCTGGCCCCTGCTCACGTCTCTTCTCAGGTTCCCCATTTTACCCATCATGCCTCACTTCAAGACAATGCTCACATTAACTTGCTCATTTTCTGAGCCCTTTCACCATCAGAAATTGATTCCTATCACTTTTTTATTACATTAATGAACAAATACATACTAAATTTATAATGAGATGTCAAACTATCAGAAACCGGAATAAAGAATTATATCTGGGATCAGTGTGCAAAAGGAGGAGAGGCCCACAAAGCTATGGGCCATCTTGAAGGTAGCAGAAGGCCACTCCCAGGATGTGGCTATGTGCCATGGCAGGGCGGATAGGGAGTTTCTCAGGCTGTGGATGTGGCAGTGTGGGGGGCATCCCAAGAGGAGGACCACCTGTGCAAATGTCCTGTGGCAAAAGGCAACATCGTGCTTTTCTTCAACTTTTGGGAGGCTTGTGTGGCTAGAGACAGATGTCAGAGGGGGAAACAAGTTTGGTTGAGGACCAAACTATGTAGAGACTTGGAGATCATAATCTCCTACATTTTTTATATACAGCAATGTAGACCTCTGTCTCCAGTTCAGCTCGTGACTAACCATAGTTACCCAAATCTCTATGGATGTCTCTGCAGAGTAGAGGACTACATGCTCAGAGTGTCTCTGCTCCTTCCCTGCTCCTCAGGAAAGTGGAGAGGAGAGGACAGAGAGCTTCCCACCGACATGAATGAGTGACACCACCGCCTTAAGCTGGCAAGCAGCCAGTCTAGGGTTGAACTACCTGTCTCCTCTGGGCCATAACTTGGGAAGCGTGAATGGAGCAGAACTTTGGAAGCTTCTGTAGGGCTGAGGGAGTGTGGGCTGGAGCTCTTAGGGAAGATCTGCCAGGGACATTTGAGGTAGAAGCAGACTCCTGAAGGATAGGTAGCCATATTACTCTAGTATAATCCACATATATATTATATTCACTCAGTCTCTCCTCTGCTCTCTCTCATTTGCAGAACTGAGGATCGAATCCAGGGCCTTTGCACGGAACTGCTTTTTTCATTATTTTGAGACAATTTCTCACTAACTTGCTAAACTGCCTAGGTTGGGAGCACACTTGTAATTCCCTTGCCTCAGCCTCCCAGAGTGCTGGGATTACAGTTGTGCACCACTGCATCCAGTTCACGTATTTTTTAATGCCCGTTTTATGAGATATAAATTATCATGCTCAATTTGCACCTGAGAAAATTAAAGCCCAGAGACAGGAAAAACTTGCCTAAAAACTGTAGTGCTGAAGCCTGTAAGTGATGAAGTGAGGGTTCAAAGCCCGGCTCTGTTGGACTCTTAAACTAACCTGTGAATACAAACCTGTAGTGTCCTTGAGGAAAAAAAATAAGCAAAGGTGAAGTGAGTGAATGGACAGAGAGCTCATATCCTCCCCCACTCACTCAGCTCACACCATTCAGCACTCACCCTGTGCCAGGCACTGCAGCAAAACAAGTTCTGGACCAAGAGTTGGAGGACCTCAGCCAGAGATCTGGTTCCAAGATTTAATCAACTACTTCCTATCCATGGGCCCCAGTTTTCCCAGCTATAAAATGGGAATAATGCCGCTGCCACTCTCCTTCTCAGAACTATTTGAGGGGTTCAAGTACAAAGTACCTGTGCTGGTACCTGAGATTGCTTTTCATTCTGATGGAGGTATGCCCCACCTTGGGGATGAGGCGGTGGCTAGCTTGACTTGTGGGCTAGGAGATAGACTCTCTTGACCTCAAGGTCTCAGTGTGACATGCTCATGTCCTCATGCGAAGAAGACAGCTTTGAGTGGGAACTGAAGAACCTGAGAATTACTAGACACTCCCCACACCATCAACCACCAAGTGCTGGTAACACTGAGTCTTTAAAGTGACCCACATTTGTCTACTTCTCTCCACTTTTGCCAGTGTCACCAAAGTCCAAGCCAATGCCACCAACGTCCAAGCCACTCTTCATGTGGAAGACTCTGAAGATCTCTCACTGGGTTCCTGCTTCCCTGGGTCCAGTGCATTCTCTTCCATAGCCTCAGGGGCCTTTTAGAGAGAACTTGGATCGCAGATCATATCTCCACTTAACTGCTCCCTTCCCACATTCCCTATTGCTCTTTAACTAAAATCCTTAAACATCACCTACCTAGGGCCACCTGGGACATCCATCCATCGTGTCATTTCACAGTCCTTTGCACTCCATCCCAGCTCCACTGTCCATTCTGTCCTTTCAGTGCTGCAAACGCGGTCACATACTGTTCCCTTTGCCAAAGACACTCTTTCCTCAGCTCTTTTCTGTCCTCAGCTTAAATACTGCTCCTTCCGGGAAGCGCTCCCTAACCCTGTCTCTCCCATTCTCCAGCCACTTTAGACCTCTCCTTCTGGGCCCTTATGAGACCTAGACATATTTAAAAATTCTTGGTCCTAGAATTCCTGGGTCCTAGAATTCTGTCTCCTAGGACAGTCTGTGGGAGCATTTGCCCATATCACTGATGTCCACTTTCATTCTCTTTCCCAGTGAGCACTACTTCCCAGACTCCCTTGCGGTAGGGGAGGGCCATGTGATTAGTCTTGGCCAATGGATGGTGAGAAGTGGTGTCTATCACTCCCAGGCCGGAACAGTGAAAAATTCATGCACAATCCTCCACCCCCTCTTCTTGTGCCATGGTAATTGAGAAGGTCACAACTTCCAATGGGTGCTCAGCTCCTAGGCATTCGGGACTTACTGGCCTCAATCCCTGAGTGGTTAGAGCAAAGAGCTGAGACTCTCCATCCTGGCTTCCTGCACCTGATGCCATACTACCTCCATTCAGACCATCTGCCACCACATCTCGGAAGATACTGGAAGGCTTCTGAAGATAGTATCTAAGCTAAGCACCTGCGGTGGGCGTGTGGCACAAGTGAGCAAAAAACCTACTGTTGTGTTGTCCCTGAGGGTTAGAGTTTTTTGTTGCTGCCCTATCTATGTGAGCAGGGCCTGGGCTCTTACCAAAGGCATCTTACATACTTGTTGAATGAGTGAAAAACAGAAAACATAAGGAATTGCTCTTTCCTGAAAGAATTTACTCTGGTGCAAGGGACAAATACTTGCATACACAACGGCTCGATTGTAGAGGTCAGTCCTGCAGGGCTTCCTAGAGGGGAATAAGAAAGGTCTTAGCGTCAGAGAGCATGAGCGTGGGCTTGCTGCTCATCCCATCATTCATCCCTCTACCCGGCAAGTATTGGCTCTGATGCACCACGAAAAGTGCTTTGCCAGCAGTGCGACCTGAGGATCTGGGGCCCACAGCCAAGTACCTCTTTGCATGCAGAGGACATAGAATGGCTTCCCAGAGAGGGTGATATTTGAGTTGAGCCTCGGTAAGTAGGTGTTCGCCCAGAGAAGAGGTGGGAGCAAGGGCTGAGGCTCACAGGAAGAGGCAGGAACGTGAGCTGATGCGCGAGGCACGACGGTGTGTCGGGGACAGGGAAGCATCTGGCACGGCCGGATCTGGGGGAGAGGAGCGGCAAAGGGCTGAGGGTCTCCATCCTGGCTTCCTGCACCTGATGCCACACTACCGCCATTCAGCCCACCTGCCACAGCGTCTCAGAAGGCACTGGAAGGCTTTTGAAGATAGTATCTATGCTAAGACCTGAAGCTGAGTTGCAGGTGTCCTGCAAAGGTGGGGTCGAGGAGCAGGGGATGGCGTTCCAGGCAGAGGGAGCAGCGCACGCAGATGCCTGGAGAAGGGAGGTGGCAAGGTCTGAGACGGCAGCTCCGGTGGGCTGGCTGGAGCACAGCCTTCTGGGTGTCAGAGAGGAGCGGGTGAGGCAGAGCAGGGCCCGGCCATGTTACCTGCCCCCCAGAAATCCCTTCCAAAGGCCCCAGCTCAGCAACCAAGGCTGTGAGGAGTCTCTCTTCTCCCTCTCCCCCCAACCCCTCTAAGTGCTGATGCCAATGGTGATGGCGACATACCTTGGTGACCCTTAGAATGTCAGGTGCTGTGATGAACACTATTTCACGGAGCTTCTCAATGATGCCACGGTTAGTATTTTTTTTTTAAAGATTCTTTTCTTTTTAATAGACTATGTTTTAGGATTTTGTGGGGGGATTGGTTTTTTAGACAGAGTCTCACTATACAGTTCAAGCTGGCCTTGAACTTACCCTGTAGCCCAGGCTGGCCTTGAACTCGCAGCAATCCTGCTTCAGTCTCCCAAGTGCTGGAATCACAGGCATACACCACCATGTCCAGTGATTTGGGATATTTTTAGACTTACAGAAAGACTGAAAAGACATTTCAGAGGGTTCACTCCCATCCACTCCTGGCACTGTATTAGTGACACATCACCATTTGTTAACATCTGTTACAATTATTGATGGACAGTTTTGATATACTGAAGTCTATAGCTTATTTCAATTTATTTAGTTTTTAATGCCCCCTTTTTTTCTTTTCCAGCATTGTATCTAGGATACCACCTTACATTCAGCGGTCAGGTTTCTTCGGGCTTCTCTGCGCTGTGACAGTTTCTCAGACTTTCCTTGCTTTTGATGATCTTGACAGTTTTGAAGAGTATCAGTCCGGTATTTTGTTGGGTGCTCCACTGTTGTTTTTCCCACGGCAAGCCTTGGCTTATGGGTTTTTGGGAGGAAGACCCCGAAGTGTCATTTTTATCACATAATATCAAGTGTGCATACTACAGACGTGATTCACAGTTACTGACGCCCTTGATCTCTTGGCTGACGCAGCAGTTGTCAGCTTTTCCACTGTAGAGTCCTTCTGCCTGCCATGTTCTTTGGATGGAGGTACTAGGCACAGCCCAGGCCTGGGGAGAAGGGAACTCACTCCCGATTCTGCACAGGTGGTTTGTCTTTTCATCCCCATTTACTGATGTCTCATGTTAGGGGGCTGCTCCAGGCTGAGTCGGTGCTTTTACCACTCTCATTTCTGGGAGCTGGAAGGCCTCCTTTCTTCCCCACCTGCCTCATCCCACAGCCCCTTTCTGAAAACCGTACCCACCCTGCTAGAGTGATATCCTCTGTGTTCTCCCTTGGGGCCTTGTGTCTTGTAATTCTATCTCATGCCACATAAAGTGCTTCTGCCCTGTGCAGGACACTGCACTTGAGGCCCGAGAACAAACAGCTTCTCTGGGTCCTGTCCTCCAGTTGCCCCCAGCGTTTGCCAACCTGTGCTAAACTGGACTCTCCATGCAGGCAGGCAGGAGCTTGGTCCAACTTGTTCATAGCAGTGCTCCGAGCCAATCAGCAGTGTCTGAAGCGTAGCAGGGTCTCAGTTGGTATTTATGGAGTTGGAACGCTTCCGGGAATACAGAGGATGTTTCTGTGTGTGTCCTTCTCGGGCGACTGGGAGCTCCCTGAGGGCAGGCCAAGCTCTGATTCATCTGGGCCTAGAAACTGGGTGGCCCTGTGTGCACAGAAATTAGCGGGTGAGAGGAGCAGCTGGCTCCTCGCATAGAGGTGAAGTTTTGAAACTGACACGGCCCTGGAGGCCGAATCAGGAGGACTTGGTGACTGATTGGCTGGGGAGGGTGAGGCGGGAGGAGGAGTCACACAGATGGTTCTGAGGTCTGGAGCTAGGGGACCGCCGGTGCCACCTCTGATAGACTTCGAGAAGAGCTGCTGGCAGCCTCTGGCTGCCCGGGCTTTGGGGGTTCGGGCCTAGGGCTGGGAAGAGGCGGCCTGGCCTGTGCAAACTTCTGCCCCCACTCCCATACCCTCGACTTAAAAAAAAACAAACCTCAGCCTGGATTTTGAGCACGAACATTTGTTATCAGGCGTGAGAGTCCATTCTGGGGGGTCCCCCAGCCTGCAGTCTTCGGGGGAGAACCCCCCGGGGCAGCCTGCTCCCGCGCGGGCTCGGTCGGTCTGGGCCGTGGGCCGCCAGGCCCGGATCCCCGGCCGCCATCACCCGGAGAGGGGTGGCGAGGCGGCTGCCGGGCCTGGGCGGGACAATGGCCGCGGACGCCC